GCACTTTTTCGTGTAAATACTTTGCCAATTTACCGCTCAAATATGACAGAGAAACCCCATCAGTGTACTGTATATTTATTGTACAATTCCAAACAGAGCTGAGATATTGTCGTCTGATCATGTTTGTGTCAGATAGTAGCCTACTGTCATGGAAGGGAATGTAATGTGATTGAATTCATATTCAATGTCTCTGTGCTGGAATGGAAATATTACATACTGTAACATACGTTAAACCCTTATATACTGTAAGGATTTGTATATTATATATGATGTTTATCCAGGACCAGAAAATACCATGGTTATAGGAGGATTTTATCACTTTTTCTTTCCCCAGACGGGTGCCTTAGTTCCTAACACTCAAAATAAAACTTCACCCAGTGTCAGTCATTAGTGCAAAAGTAGTATGAAGATATTGTCAGACTGTGCCTGGGCCGCATGAAACACTGTTACCAAACTTGCCTTTTCTACACGTCCCATTGAGGAGCTTTCAGTTCACTATTGAAGGATTCATTTTGAAGGAGCAGATTCTATGAAGCAGCTTGTTCATTGGAATCCCAGTGCAGTCACTATTTCTTACTCTTTTCAGCTGGATTATTGGTCATATTTCTGTATTTCAGCAGCAAGCGAGGACTGACATGGTTTTAGCGCTGATAAAGGAGTAGTTTGGGGAAATGTTTGCTTTCTTGCCGAGAGTTAAGATGGGAGAAGTTGAGGTACAATCTCTGTCTGTTACCTCTAAATTTGAAACTTTTTAGCAACGGAGGCAGTGTTAGCTTGAGCTTTGTGGCCATAAAACTGGGAGGGGCAAGAGGAGGGGGAAACAGTAGGCCTGTCTCTGTCCAAACGTAAAAACATCCACCTGCCTGCACCTAAAGCTTACTAATTAACATGTTATATTAAGGAGATCTGGCATCCTGCCTACATGAATGATATACAATAATGTAATCATTTCGGGGGTTTATGATGCTCAGAAAAATGTTTTACAGACGTTACGTTTCCAATTATTGTGTGTGAGGAAACTGTGCAGAAGTTGCAATACCCCATGTGGCCACTAGGCCAAAATGGATTCACAGTCCAGTTCCATACCTGGAGGTTTGGTCCAGCACATTAACCCCCCGTAAAATGTTTCACATGTTGATTTTGAGTGGATTAAACTAAAAAGATAATACAAGTTAATAGACCTTTTTCACAGCAGCCACTTTGACATTAAATAGTAGGGCAAACACAGGTTTTACTAATGATACTGATTAAGGTTCTTGTCCATTCAGGTCAAACAGTAATGTAACATATGTGTGCCCTACTGTGAAAAAGGTCTGTTGGTGACCTTTAGAGTTGCTGCCAGGCTAAGAGTTTCCCCTTGTTTCCAGTCTTTGTGCTAAACTAACCATTTCTTGGCTGTAGTTTCATATTTAGCGAACAGACATGAGTTGTAATAATCTTCTCAACTAATTCTCAGTAAAAAAGTGATTTTCCCAAAATGTCTAACTATTCCTTTAAGTAAGTGCTAAATAAACCTCACATTCATCGTGGATATGTTGCCAGACAACGTATCCGCCCCCCGCCCCACCCTCAGATAAAGTAACCCCCTCGTCCTCTTTCCTCTCATCATCTTTGTCCCTCAGCGGAAAACACAAATACAGCCAACTCAAGGGTGCTTTCCCTCTCTTTTATTTTATTGTTTTTTTTATTTCCATGGAGTACTGTGTTTACCTCTTCTTTTCCTCCTGCTCTGCTCCGAGGGTTACAGCCTTCCCAGGCTTCTGGTGCTATCAAGTGGGTGCTTCCATTCAACCCTCTCCAGTGCGCTTAAACGTGAGGCTGGATCCAAACAATATGAAATAATATCCTTGTCAATATCTCTGTTGGTAAATGCTGGTCATGTTATTGTTCTGTTTGTATCTGTTTATACCTCACACTGGGAATTTTCATTGTTAACCTTGTATTGTTGTTTGTGCTACCAACAAAATGGACACTCGCCCAGTTGTAACTGACCCTATTACATTTCTGCGGGTGTAGGGGGTCGTGAAAGGGAACACCTATGAATGAAACGTCTCCATCACACTTTATGGAGGTACAGCAGGAGAAACCTGAGAGACAATGTAGGAGTGTGCAAGAATCTCATCGAAGCTGTTAACAACTAATTTCTAATTTTGCTGCTGCTACATTTTTTTGTAGCCACCGTCAGTATGACAATGTCGAGCAGATTTTTATTGGTTACCAAACCTTGAGGCAGTTGGGAAAGACAGTGGATGCTGAGAAGCATTTGAAATCAGTTGAATATTTAAAACTGCAATGGACTAACTCATCTACTGGCTGTGGGATGTGGAGCCTCCAGAAAAAGAGAAGTGAAATCAATCAAACTGGTACTCATTGCTGTGAACTTGGATGTTTGAATGTCACATTGCTTATACCTGTACCTAAAGTGCAAGAGAAATGAAAAGCATCATGTGATTATTTGCGTATATATTTTATATTCAGTATTAATGTTGGTACACTGTTACTAATTTTTTTTTTTCAAATGTAAATTATATGCTAATTTATTGCGTTGTCTCACTTGTACATTTATTTCACTGCATGCAAACTGAAATTCAGCACAGTGAAAAAAATGCAGTGATACAGCCCTTCACCAGCCCCCTTTTTTTTAAAAGTAGATACAATAAAAAGAGCAGCTTTTAAAGAGACTCTGTGTTAGTGGATTCATTTTTTTTCTCCTCCTGCTTGTCAAAACACATCAAAACATGTCTGCGCAACATTTCTAGTCGTGTACACAGTGATCCCTGTGAGAGGAAAAAGCTCAACATACACCGGGGATCAAATGAGAAGTGTTGGTGCCAGGGTGGATGCTCCGTTCTCACAGGCTTTAAGAGATATATACTCTTGTCCTTTCACTCAACTCTTGGAAAGCACCCACAGCATGAGAAAAGATAATGGCATCACACCAGGATACCCGTTACCACCGCTGAAGAAATCCATTCATTCGCTGCCTCAGTTTAGGGTGACCGAATCGGAGAAGGAGGGCAACGTTTGTGAAAGCTTTTGTCCTTATCTACCTAACTCTGACACGCCAGCCACATCATCATCTGAGACTCAAACATAATAAACGTCAGCTAGTCTAAGTGAGGGCCGTCAAACACCATTCTGAACTGTCCCAGCTTTGTTGCCATAGCTTTTGGTATGGCAGTCTCCTTCCTCTCATCCTGGCCTCAAGTGTCTGGATTCACTCTTTGGGAGCTGTGAGGTTTCCACTCTCCTTGGTAATTAATTCCAAATAAACAGTAACTAGCCCACTTGGCTGGGAAACGTTGCCGTCTCCTTCTAATCCACAGTGTCCAATTACAGAGGGAGACAGATGGCCTGTTTGGTCTAATGTAACCAGTTTAGAATACCTGTACGTCTGGCCCAGCTTCTGTCTGCCGCGCTGGCCTGTCTGCAGGGGTCTGTGATTACATTAGTCCTAACCTGCAGAGCTGAGGGCGACAAGGAGAGGGAAAAAAGGGAAGGTGATGGAGTTCAGGCCGAGATATTCCGTATCTGCGGATGACCCGACAGCTCTGGCTTCTTCACACGCAACATTTGCACACGATTATGTGCGCACATACGTCGACGATAGCTCATTATAGATTAAACATACAAACAGAAGGTTTTGCCTGAGAAACATAAGATGCTCACTGGATACTGTGCGTGCACACGTCGCCAGGAGGCCTCCAGATGATGAGGCAATGAAAGTAACATCGAGTTCAAGACAACACACGTTGTCACGCAATTTTATTGGCATTTGAATTTCCAAGTATTTTCTTGGTTTCAATGCTGTCGACCTCAAAGCCTGGTCACATAAAAAAAATGGTACGGTGAAATTAATCTGCATGTATTTGCTAAATATTTAATTCTAGAAGCTTCACTGAAAAAAGACATGTATGTATTTGGAAAAATGTCTGAAGACTTGAAAATAAAGTTTATTGATTCCTAATGACACCTTTACCTATTTATATTCAATGCTTTACTAATGTGCCACAATGATTCAATGTTTTTGAGTTAAAATATCTTAGTTTGGGGGCTTTTTCATTTCATTTTTGTGATTAAATCAGGAAGTCTTCACGCCACCTTCTAACCACCACATGTATCATAGTTTGGGGTATTTTTGTTCATTCATTCATTTTGGTTTG